GATCTCTGGGTCAATGAAAGTTTGGTTCATGGAGTTTTCTCATTTTCTGGGCTAATTCCAGTCTTGATTCTATTTGGTTCTGCTTCTAGTCTTGTTTTTATTTGATTGTGCTTCCTGTTCACTTATGTCTGCTCTAATCTTTATCCTTTCTTTTCTTCTCCTGCTTGTAGACCTTCCCTCCTCCCACCAAGCCTTTACTGTTCTTTTTCTAATTGTTGGGATTATTGGGTTAAGGTATTGATTTTGGTTCATTCCTCTTTTTTGATAATGTGCCCTTATTGCTGAACATTGTCTTCTAAAAGCTCTGCTTTTGCTGTGTCCAAAAGTTTGGGTATGTATTCTTTCTCACTTGATTAAAAGGATTTTCTTTAATTTTTAATTTATTCTACTACTCATAGAAGGAGAACTGATGCCTTCAATCTGTGGTGCTGGAGAAGAGTATTGGATATTTTATGGACTGCTAGGAGAACAAACAGGTTCATCCTAGAGAGAGTAAGACCAAGCTGCTCCTTGGAAGAGAGGATTATGAAGCTTCATTTGACCTACTTTAGACATGTTGCAAGGAGGGACCAGTCCTTGGACAGGGACATCATACTTGGGAGGGTGGAGGGACAGCACAAGAGAGGAAGACCTTTGATGAGATGGGTTGATTCAGTGACTGGGATAATGGGGGTAGGTGTGTCAGAGACAACAAGATTGGAACAGGTTAGAGCAGGGTTTACTGTTGTACCTCAGGTAGCTATGAGTCACAGGTGACTCGATGACACATAACACCACTCACCATAGTTTTTAGACAAGATGCTATACAAAAGGATTTTTAAAGTTTGTTTTTTCCTTGTTATAATTTTCTAATTTTGTAGCATTGTGATATGTACTGTTTTGATGGGTTTAAAGTTTCTGAGACTTGCTTTGTGGCCAAACATGTACAGTTTATTTTGGAGAATAATCCATATAGTGGAAAAGAACATATATTGTGGTATTCCTGAGGGAGCATACTTTTTATAAGTGTATGAAGTCAAATTGGTTGACTGTAGTGTTTAGATATTTATTGTGTCTTCTATATCTTTGTTGAGTTTCTTTCCAGTTACTCTGTTCTTCATCAAGAGTGGTATATTAAAGTCTCCTACTATATTATGTTGTTGTTGTTGTTTACCATAAGTCAGAACCAACCCATAAATGATCCTCAGGTGAGTTTTCAGAGGCAGTTAATCACATGGGAGGAGATTGCCCATATTTCTCCTGCAGAGCAGCTGGTCGCCATGAGCCACATTTCATGCCTTTGAGACTGCAGTCTATTTCTATTTCTACCTGTTAAGCCTTGATTTATGTATTCTTTGGTTCTTTCACTGGGCAATCAGTTATTTATTATGGTTAGTCATTGTATAACAATGACCATCCTTATCGCTTATGTTGCTCTTTGGCTTTATTTTATAAAAAAAAATTAATATTGCCACTCATGGTAATTTCTGGACACTATTTCCTTGATATATGTATTTCCATCTTTTATTATTAGATCATTTTTATATCTGTATTTAAAGTATGTGTCTCATAGGATACATATTGATGAGCCATGTTTTCTTATCCATTCTGCCATTGTGTCTCCTGATTGGAACATTTAATCTATTTACATTCAGTGTTAATTCTTGATACTTATTCATTACTACTGTCATTTTGTTATATTTGTGTATATAGGTTGTTGTTAACTGTGGTTCATAATGACCTTATGAACAGTAGATCTGAACCTGTCCTATACTATGTTATCCTCATAATCTTTGACAGAGTTGAACCCATTGACACAGTCCCTGTGTCAAAACATCTTGTCGAGGGTCTTCCTCTCTTTCACTGGTCCTCCAGTTTTCCAAGTCTGATGTCCCTTTCCAAGGAATAGCCTCTCCTAACAGCATTCCCAAAGTATGTGAGATCAAGTGTCACCATCTTTGCATACAAGAAGCACTCTGGTTTCTTTTACTCTAATACATATCTGTTTGTTCTTTTGGCTGTCCATTCAGCACTCTTCTTCAACACAATTCAAAGGCATAGTGTTTTTTTGTTTTGTTTTGTTTTTTTTAACTCTGTTATCTTTTGTCATTGTCCAGATTTCAGATTCATAGTAGGTGACTGGAAAGACTATGGCTTGAACCAGGCATACCTTAGTCTTTAGATGTACATCATTGCTCTTTAGGACTTTAGCGGACCCTTGACAGCAGACTTTAATAATGCTATATGTCTCCAGATCTCCTGACTGCTGGTACCAAGGGTACTGACTGTGGATCAAAGCAAGATAAAATAGTTGACAATTTCATTTTTTTCTCCTTCTATCATAACATTCCCCACTGGCCTAGTGATAAGGATTTTTTTTTCCTTCTTGATGTTGTGATGTAATCCATATTGAAGGCTGCAATCCTTGATCCTCTGCAGCAAATGCCTCAAGTCCTCCCTACTTTCAGCAAGCAAGATTGTGTCATTTTCATAATGAAGGCTGCTGATAAGTCTTCCTCCAGTATTGATGCCATACTCTTTATCATAAAGTCCAGCTTCTAAAATTATTTGCTCAGCTTACAGATTTAACAAGTATGGAGAAAGGATACAGCCCTGATGCACACCTTTCCTGATTCCAAATCATGCATTGTTCCTATGATTTGTTCAGACACAGCTTCTTGGTTTAGGTATAGTTTTCATATAAGCATAATTAAGTGTTCTAGAATTCCCATTCTTCATGTTAGCCACAGTTTGTTATGATCCACCCAGTAAAATGCCTTTGCATAGCCAAAAAGCACAAACAGACAATTGTTTGTGTTTATGGTACTGGTGATTTCTCTGGTCTTCATACTTTTCTTTTTTAATTTTCTACTAATTTATTTACAAAATTAGAATACATTGTTTTCAAGAACAAATTCTTCCAATTTCTCTCACCCCCTCAACCCATCAAATTATACAACTCCATGATTAATCCCTACTACCCCTGCACATCCTCATCCCTCTGCTTCCAACCCCTCCCTCCTCTCTCGGATCCTTATACTCATTCTACAGTAATGGTTTTATACAATATTTATGCTTGTGGGGCTGAGTTCGTTCACTCAGCATAATGCTCTCCAGTCCCTCCCAAGTTAAGTAATAATTTACAAAGTTATTGCTCCTGTGTGCTGCATAGTATTCCATTGTGTGAGTGTACCATAACTTCTCAATCTATTCATTTGTGGTTGAGCATTTGGGCTGTTTCCATGTTCTTGTGATGGTGAATAATGCTGCTGTGAACATTGGTGTACAAGTCTCTGTGTGTGCCTCAGTTCTCATTTTCTCAGGGTATATTCCAAGTAGTGGTATAGCTTGGGTCATATGGAATTTCTATGTTCAGCTTTTTGAGGAAGCGTCAAACTGCCTTCCAGAATGGTTGTACCATTTTACAATCCCACCAACAACGTTTAAGAGTCTTCATACTTTGGGGGAGCTCTGGTGGCCTAGTGGCAAGAAGCTGCACTGCAATCCCAGAAGCAAGTGGTTCAAATCCACCAGATGCTCTGCTGGAGAAGGAGGGACAATCTCCTCCTGTACCAGTCAGATTCAATTTGACGGTACACACACACACACACACACACAATAATAAAATAAAATAAAAAAGAGTCTTCATACTTTCAATGTCATGTTAATTTTATTTATGAAATTTCTTCTCATTTCCTTTATTGTTGATTTTGTTTATTTAGTCTTTATAATCCTCTTCTTTTTTTAAGTTAGAAGGCTTATTCATATTATTTATGATTACTGTGCAACTTATTATTATCCTCCTACATTTAAAACAGAGAGATCTGGTGCTATAGTCCTCAGGCAGTTGTGCTGCTAAACCAGGGGCTGTGTCTCTCTGGTGGTTCAAATCCATCAGGTGCTCTGTAGGAGAAAGGAGGGCAATCTTCTCCCACATGGCTCACAGCCTTGGAAATCCAAATGGCTTACAAGCTAGTTCCTACTTGATCATAACAGGAAAGAGAGACATTTAAAACATCTATCATTCTATCTTGTCACTCTGGTCACCAGTTTGACAGCAGTGGATTGCTCACCGCTTGTCTTATGCTGGGTGAAATAGAGGGTAGAAGTGTGGGCACTGTTCACTGCTGATGTAGAGTTGAGAGTGGACTAGGTGGATGTTGCCTGATCTCTGTTGTTAATTTAGTGGTACAGGAGTGGCTGATGCCACTTGCTCAGTGGGTGGTGTAGCAGGTGTGGTGATTATCGCTTGGTAGTGTGGACATGGCTATCCCATCCTGGATTGGGGGGGGGGGAGGAAGTGGAAAAATGTAGGTGATGGAGAGATAATACAAGGTGGTTTGGAAGCAGGTGAAAGTGTGAGTCACAGACTGTTGAGGCATTGGACATGTAACACTTGACCTGTGGAAATGTTGTTGTGTACTGTCGAGTCAGAATCAACCCATAGCTGACCCTCTGGCGGGTTTTCAGAAGCAGATAATCACATGGGAGGAAACTGCCCATCCTTCTCCTGCAAAGCAGCTGGTGGATTCGAACTGCTTGTCTTTGGGATTGCAGCACAGCTTCTTGCCACTCAGCACAGGAACATAGAAAGCTGCTCCAAGCCTGCCAACCTTTGGATTAGTACTCCAGGGCTTATCCATTTGTTGTTGTTGTGTGTCTTTGAGTCAGAACTGACCCATAGTGAGGGGGTTTTAAAGACAGTTAATCCCACAGGAGGAGACTGCCTATCTTCCCATGGAGCAGATGGTGGATTCGAACTGGGTATCTTCAAGAGTGCAGCACAGCAACTCACCACAAGGTCACCAGAACCCCTTTCTTGAAAAGAGTCAGTAAAATTTATCATTCCCTTTCCAGTTCCCACAGCTACAATATGCTTAAGATGCACAGAGGACTTTTGTGCTGCTAAGTTTGAAATCTGAGTTGTATTACTGAGATTTGTAATAAAAACACAAATAAGGCTTTTAAAACTTAATGATAGGAAACTTGCTATTTGGGAAGAGAAAGGAAAGAGTACTTACCTTTGTATCCCAATATGGCTACTGTGATTGTGAGCAAGGCACACAGAATATATAATAGTACGATTGAAAACTTCAGTGCCCAGTTATTTTTACATTTGGTACACTGTGTTCCTTCCTGAATACCTGCAAGACAAATTCTTATTTTAATAATAGTAATAAATAACATCATTTAACAATAATCTCAAATATCATACTTCAGTTTGCTCGGCTCCACAGTCAACACTCTTGGCACCAGAAGCCAGGAAATCAAAAAACGTATTGCAATGGGAAAGTCTGCTGTTAGGGACCTCTCTAAAGTACTAAAGAGCAACGGTGTCTCTCTGGAGACTAAGGTGTGCCTGATACAGGCCATGGTCTTTGCAATCACTTGTTATGCATCAGAGAGTTGGACAATGACTAGGGAGGATAGAAGGAGAACTGATGCCTTTGAGAAGAGTATTGAATATACCATGGACTGCCAAGAAAACAAACAGATACATCCTAGAGAGGGTTAAACTAGGCTACTCCTTGGAGGCAAGGATTCTGGGGCTTCATCTGACATACTTTGGACATGTTGTAAGGAGAAACAGGTCCTTGGAGAGGGACATCATACTTGGTAGGGTAGAGGGACAGCGCAGGAGGGGAAGACCCTCTATGAGGTGGATTGATTCAGTGATTGCGGTAATCGGGATGGGTGTGTCAGGGGCAGTGGAACTGGCACAGGATAGAGCAGGGATTAGGGCTGCTGTACATAGGGTCGTTACGAGTTGCAAACGACTCGATGGCACATAACAATGACAACATCATACCAAAATAATTTTTCCATGTGCCTACTATGAATTATAGTAGATTGAAAGTAAATGTCTTTTTTATATTTTATTTTATTGTTTGTGTGTGTGTGTACCATCAAATCAGATCTGATTGGTAGAGGAGAAAATTGTTTCTCCTTCTTCAGCAGAGCATCTGGTGGATTTGAACCATGCACCTCTGGGATTGCAGTGCAGCTTCTTGCCACTAGGCCACCAGAGCTCGCCAAAAGTAAATGTCTTTTTAATCATGTTAGCAATGCATGTACTACAATATTACTATTGTTTTGTTATAGGGGTGTGTGTTCAAGATGGCTTGATAATATCGCATAATATTATTTCATAGAAAAGAGTTTATAATCAAATCCATAATGATAATTACAGAGATAATTTCTTAAAAAATATCCATGCTTGGGAGGGTGGAGGGAGAACTCAAGAAAGGAAGACGGACTGACTCAGTGACTGGGGTAAATGGGGGTAGATGTGTCAGGAACCATGCGATTGGCTCAGGCTAGAGCAGGGTTCAGAGCTGTTGTACATCGGGTTACTACGAGTTATAAGAGAGGCACATAACAATAACAACAATCCATATAAAAAGGATTTAAAACACTCCGATCTCCCAACCTCCATGTCTGTCCTACTTTATAACAGTGGTGTTATCAACACTGCCATGGAACAGATGAAGGGAACTGTTTAAAAGGAATATATGATTAGGCATTATATATATGACAACAGTCCAGAATAAGAGGTAAGATTACAAAGGGACTGGGGGAGGGAAAGGGGAAGTGGGGAGGCAGAAAATTGTGCAACAGTGAATGAATGAATGAATGAAAATCCAACTTTTCTGTATAACAATGAAAGAATTTTTCTTTTATTTTTCAAAAAGAAGAATGAACTGTGGGGGGAGCGGTGGGCAGGGAGAAAAGTGCAACAATGAATGAATGGGAATCCAAAGTCTCTGTAAATTTTCATTAAAATTAATAATAATAAAAATTATTTAAAAATAACATAAAAGACATCCCAAACAAAACACTCCAATCTGCTTGTTTCAAATAACGTCGAGTATGTCAGAGATGGTCAAGATGGCACAGGATTGGGCAGGGTTCAGACCTTTGTGCACAGGGCTGCTATGAGTCACAGTTGACTCAACAGCACTTAATGATGTAACACTTCAAACATATAAACAGAACCTGTGAATTGTCCATTTCTGTTTCTTTCAATGGGGTACTAAGGCTAGTTTGCGTTGGCTTGTAAGAGGCAACTCTTCAACTTTCAAGGAATTGTATAAGTTGTTAGCTCTAGGGAACTGCATTGCGAACCCGATGACTCTGCTGGTTTGAATCCACCAGCAGCTCTGGGGATGGGAGATGGGAAAACATATGGAGGTTTGCACTAGAAATCAGAACTAACTTGATAGCTGTGCGTTTGATTTATTAATGACTTAGGACCCTGGAATCAGTTCCCAACGGAGTATTTAGACCATGGAAAATGGCAAACACTATAAATCAGTAACTTCTCCTCTGCCCCTGGAGAGTTTACCAGCATTTATTGTGCACATATAACACGCCATTTGGCCTAGTGGCAAGAAGTTGTGCTGCAATCCCGAAGGCACTAATCTGAGGCGACCAGCTGCTTCATGGGAGAAGGATGGACAATCCCCTCCCATGCGATTAACTGCCTCTGAAAACCTGCTGGAGGGTCAGCTATGGGTCAGTTCCGACTCGTCAGTATTACATTAACAACAGAGACATAAGTATGACTTCTTAAGATTAAAATGTTAGGTAGAAAAACATGTATATTATGAATAGTCAGAAAATAGATATTTTATTTATATTACCTCAGTGGTTTGAATAATAAGCACAGAACAAATGAAAGCTGGACTATTTTCAATGAGAACAGGTACGTTTTCACTGCTCCAAGTCAAACTTTTTGAAAAGCATTCTAGTTTAAGTGGCACATCACCATTATTTCTATAAGTGACTTCCAAAACTAACCTAATAAAAGGAGACTTTTCTCCAAGTTCACGGAGTTTCCATAGGCATGCGGTTTAGGAAGTGGATGCCATTCCTGCTTCCAAAATAGTCTTAGACTGGGAGCTCCACCAAACACTGTCCACATTGGGCAACTGTTATGGCATTTGACACCCCAATGGCAAAATGTTCAGCATCACAGCAAACCCAGATTACCTCAGTACAGCAAATTGATAGAAGAGTGATGTGCAGCTTAGAAGAATGCTCCTCAAAATATAACAGCAATCGTCTCACTTAGCAATTTTTAAGTGCCATCAAGTCGAACACAGCTTATATAGCAACCCTATGAACAAAAGACCGGAATCCCACTCCACAACTAACATAATTTCTCTATGTTCACAGAGTTTCCAGAGGCATGTGGTTTAGGAAGTGGATGACACTCCTGCTTCTAAACCTGAATCAATCTGAAAGCATCCAAACTGTGTCCATGATGGGCAACCATTATGGCACTTGACTAAATAGACTTTTATTGGTTTCACTACTCTAGAAAATGCAACCTATGATAAATCACATCAAAATGACTTGAAATATTTTTAAAGCTGGCAATATTAAAGCCATGTTATGAGCCTTCAGGAAAATTGAGATCAGTAAGGTCTCTGGAAATGGCTACATCTGGTTTAAGGGGAAAAAATGACTTGAGAGGTCTGTTAAAAGACAGCATTTTAAGTTTAGAAGGTCTAGGAAGGGGGCTGAGAATGTGGGTCTAAGAGCTCCAGATTCTGTGTGTCTAGCTGGCCTGGGTACCACAATTGAGAACAGCACTTGTCAACTTTAAAGTGTTACAAATCACATGGGGGGCCCTGTTGAAATGCAGATCCTGATTTGATGGGTGTGAGGTATGAGCTAAGATTCTGCTCTAAGATTTCTAATGAGACCCAAGTGATGCTGGGTCCAAAGACCACACCTTGAGCAGCAAAAGTATCTTTTGGTCAGAGGCTGCCAGTCTTTGAGAATGAGGTGGTAAAGTCAAACTCACCAGGGGAATGAATAGATCTAAAGTACATCATTAGATCTCCACTGCTCTCATTCCCTCTTCCTTTCCACCTCGCCTGTACGTTTTAAGGAGCTCAGTGTGATGTTGCCATATAAAAGATGAGCAGTTTGCTATGACCAGGTGGCAGTCTCCTCCTGCAAAGACTTACAGCCTTGGAAACTGATATAGGGCCACTGGTTGGAATTAATTCTAATGAGAGTGGGTTTGGGTTTTTAGGGTATTTTAGATCTATGTCTCTTGTTCAAGGTTCACTCAGTACTAACTCTTCCCAACAAGTTCTCCAATTTCCATCCAACTTTCTCCATCCTTCCATGAACTGTGAGGACATTTTTTAATTTTTTTTAATTTTTTTTTC